AAAAGCGACCTGTCCAGGGTGTACCCTGCCTCTCGCCCCATGACAGCTGGGATAGGCTCCAGTGCCCCCCGCGACCCTGAAAAGGAGAAGCGGAAGCGAATGGATGGATGTATGATATTTTTGTCATGCGATTTTAAAGCTGGTCCTACAACCGCATCCAAGAATAACATGCAGCTTATCTCAGAACTGTCGGTGAAAATTATTCTTGGAGCTAGGTTTAATTGAGCTGCATTTTAAAGAGGTGCAATTTCACAATTTGTGTATATTTTCTAAGTTCACTATTTTGTCATGTGTTGAGAAAAACACAGATTTAAAAATTACATGGTCTAATATTTACATTTAGCATAACTGCAACATTATTTTTTCGTTTTTTTTTTTAAAGACTCGAAAGGACTTGAAATTCAAAGTTTCAGACTTGTGACTTTACTCGGACTTTTTCACCAGTGACTTGAGACTCGACTCTGACTTGCCTGACATTACTTGAGACTTGACTTGAGACTTGAGGATAAAGACTTGAGACTTACTTGAGACTTGCAAAACAATGACTTGGTCCCACCTCTTATATATCATGTATTAGTAATTACTTTAAGCCAAACTCTAGAAGCAGTGGACAGAGAAATATTGTCTGTTCAGTCTGTGTTTGGGTGCGCCTTTTCGCTTCGGCCTTTCAGCCTTCTGACAAAACGATCCACAAATTCATTAGTTTCTTGGTCAAAAAGGGGATAGACCTACATTTGATAGTGGAAAGTAGAGGCAGACAACTCCTTTAACAATAGTTACTGACAAAATGCTGATGCAACACTGTTTGTTGAAAATCAGTGTGTTTTAATGCTTTAATGCTATTAACCAGAAACCACTTTTTGTCCAACAGAGGGCAGACATGTTCACTAAACAAGCCCTGAAGAAAACTACAGCATGTCACTGTGGAAAGGATTTTCTCTGCTGCAGACTGCAGTACAATAATTACATAGTAATTGTTTCAGTGATTATACCCTGAAGGGAGACATAAATCTAAGATATGCCCACATTAGTTTATAGTCTTAATACAAGGTGGACTCTTGAAGCTGTTATCACTAAAGTCTGTTCCATGCAGGTGCATCACGCCTGGAAATGATCTGAAAGCGACTGATCCGGTCTGGTGATTTGAGTGCAACAGGAAGGCAGAGTTGGGCTTCTGGGATATGCACAAAACCCTGGATTACTACAGAGGCTTGTAAAAGAATGGAAAAAAGTTAATTCTGGATGCAGAATGTTTCCCTCTGATGAGAGACAGGGATGCCAGGAGTTCACCAACAAAGAGTGGCATGAGGTTTAAGATGGAAAGAACAGGAGTGAGCCAGGGAGAAGGAGGGGAAACAGAGGCGGAGGAGGGAATGAAGGCCAGTTGGATTTAAAAGTTTGGCCAACCTTGAACAAATAAAACTAACTTTGCTTTTTTTTTTTTCTTTCAGAATAGTTTGTCCTGCAGAGTATCATTGCATTGAAACAGACAATGAATGGCTACCAAGGACTCTTGATCATTGGGAATGGTTCTGGGGCAGCTGTCTAGTCATACTTCCAGGTCAACATTCGCACCGACTAAAATGTCAGTAATAAATGTCATTAAAAAAAATCATGATCAAAAAGCTTGAAGATCAAACTGCATGTCTGCAAGGTGGAAAAGCATGGCAACCTAACCTGACTGCAGAGGAGCTGCAGGAAGGTGTTGCTGACACTTGAGTAGTTGTCCACTCCAATGAGCAGCAGTTTTGCACAAACAGAAACCACATCTCATTACCAAAAGAGATCAAAAGGACCTTTTTTAATCACAAAGGCCTAAAGTCTGTGGAGCAACATTTGGATGACTCAGATTGCTTTAAAATAAGCCATAATCAGTAAAGGTATGTTGGATTTAAAATGGGGGTAAAAAAAAACAAAAAACAATTAATAACACCTCACCAGCTGTTAAACATGGAAGTTGACCTATTGTCTTCTCAGGTTTCTCAGGTTGTGTATCAATGAGTAGCTTGGAAGCTGTCCAGACAGATATTATATAGTGAGGCAAAAATACACTAAAGCTTCTCGGCTGAGCCACTGGAACGTGAATGAAAATCCAAACTCTTTCCTTCATAAAGGTGACATTTGACGATCTCCCCTGTATCCTTAATGATGAGATCTGACACCTCAGTACAGTGGGGCAAAAAAGTATTTAGTCAGCCACCGATTGTGCAAGTTCCCCCACCTAAAATGATGACAGAGGTCAGTAATTTGCACCAGAG